TTGGATGGTTAGACTTGACCTGACCTGACCTGATTTTATAAAAACATGACTAGGGAACTAGACTGAAAAAGAGATAAGTACCGGGAAGTATTAATGATTGTGACTTTTTTGTTAGGTTGGCAACAATTTAAACATTTTATTATAGCATACCTGATTTTCAAAATGAAATTGAAGACACCAAGTCACCTTCTCATCACGTTTGCGCGGTTTAGGCGCGCTCCTGCAAAGTTGACAACTGTGAACTGACACGTCAACATTGCTGCCAATATTTCAGGATTACCAACACAAAAAACCATTAATACTCACTCGGCACCTCTTCGTACATACGTTTTACTAACTTATTTGATGGGACAGCCTCCAACAAAACCTCCGATACTAAACACCTAAAATAAGTATATTTAGGAAAAAGCTGTCGATAAAATCCAGCTTTGAGTTGGAAGAAAATTTTAAGTCGTCTCAATGGTCCGCTGAAAATCTAACCACAGAGGTTCTGGAAACTCTTCTAAGTTTGAATGAAACAACAATGATAACGTCTGACCTCTAGCCTAGTATATTCTGAATTAGGGCGGGCCCGCATTCCGATGTGTTCAAGTATGTACACCTAGCTTGTTGGATGGTTTGACATTTTGAGGGAAGAAAAGGTACCCTGACCTGACCTAACCTAACCTGACCTGTCCTGTAGATTGGGTCCACTACCCCACACAGCTGGTCCCCAGGATCCATAATTCGTTGTCATAACCCACAACTTCCAGGCAAGTTTGTCCAATAGGAAGATTGGGACCTTAAAATGCCCACGACTGTGTGATAAGTGTAGGAGTTTCAGCTCTTCCAGACTCTTCCACCATGAGTCCAATCGGCTTCCTTTTGAGTCCCAAATACTAGAATTATGTGAACGAATACCTTCAGAGCCGATTTTATGGTACTTTGACGGGTGTGTAACAAGTTATTCCCTATTGCCCTATTCCCGGCCGAACATCGACCCAAAATTTGTTGATTCGGGTTCGTCCAGGTTAAGGGCTCGTCACTCTAAACAACCTGCACTAACACAAATATGGATTGAGTTAGAAAAAGGTTGTCCATTGAATTAAGTCAAACTAATAGCTGCACCAGATAAGGTCAGGTCATGCTGTCCCTCACACTTCTCACATACGGAAACAAAGTATACCAAAGTGTAGAGTGCCTTTCAGGCGTCTTAGAAGGAATTCCAGCATAACCACACTCTTAAACGTCAATGATAGCAGTCGGAAAGAGGAAGAGGACCAGTGAAATTTGAACCCTAACGAGTATCTGGGAAACTTCGTGCTATCCGAATCCTCTTCTTCATTAAACACGTATTTGACTACTTGGAAACTCCAGTTTTGAGTGAAGGCAGAATCTTAAGTCTTCTTAAGCTTAGCATCTATGTTTGAACGAAACGACAATGGAGGCTCTCTCTCTAGCTACATTTTTGGGAATCCATCCTTGGGAATACCTGAATTAGGGCGATCCCACATTCTGATGTGATCTAGTTTATTTAATCTCAGTAACATATGCGTGCGAGGATGGACCTTAAAAAACAAGAAGAGGCCCTAGAAAGGTGGGAGAGGAAAGTTTTGAGAAAGACATTTGGGAGAAAACGAACAGAAAATGGATGGAGAAGTAAGATGGCTGGACACATCGAAAAAAGAATACTGAGTACATAACCTATAGGCCAAAAAAAGCAAGACCAAAGAAAAGGTATATGGATGAGATAATGGAAAAAAATCAAAAAACCGAATGGGAAAGGAATCGCAAAACTACACCATGTTCAATGGCTTGACATTTAGAGCGAAAAGAAGATACGCTGACCTTACCTGACCTGACCCGACCAAATATACACTTTGTACAGGGTTTCTATAAATGATTATAGGGTCGAAGTAGGTCATGGAAACGTGCCGCCTCTCAGTTTTAAACTTTACTAAATCCCCAAGGTCTCATGATAAATACCACACGCACCTGTATAACTCATTAAACAAATTTATTGCAGTTAAACATCACAGTAAACATTGAAAATGTTCACCATTTTGTTCAAGGCACATGTTCACTCTATTTTTAATTTCAAAAATGTTCTGTAATCCTTTCTTTAATGCTCATTGTTCAATTTCATGTTACAAACAGGAACTCCTGACTGCTGAGGATAAAAAAATGTTAAAACAATAAAAACGATGACTTTAAATGACAGGTTACAATAATTGACATTAGTCACAAGCGAGAACTGTCATAATGAGGAATAACTACGCCCTAAAAACCATTTATAAAAACCATTACCATACACAGCTGGACTTCCAGGATCCATGACCTGTTGGAATAACCCAAAACTTTGCAAGTTGTGCATGCGTGACATTTACAGGAAAGAGAAGATACCCTGAGTTGATCTGACCTGACCTGACCTGACCTGATTTTATAAAAACATGTGAAAGTGAACTGGAGAAGAGATAAATACCGGAGAACATTAATGATTGTGATTTTTTTGTCAGGTTGGCAACATATTTAACTATTTTGTGATGGCATACCCGATTGTCAAAACGAAATTGAAAAGACCAAGTCGCCTTCTCATTAGGTTTGCAAGACAGGTTAAGCACGCTCCTGTAAAAGTCGTTGCTGCCAATAATTCAGAATTACCAACACAAAAATTCGCTTCAATCATTAATAGTCTCGGTACCGTAGAACGGGGCTAATAGGGAATTTTTTTTCGAATTTTTGTTAATCAAACTCAAACTAATTTTTTTAGATTTTTTAAAATAAACGTTTTGGAAAGGGCCTTATGTTAGCAGTTTTTAGTACGCAATAAAATTGTCACTGTCTAAACAATAAGGCCACAAAATTTTTTTTTTCTTATTTTCTTAAATTTTACCTGAGTGGGGTTATTCGGGAAACCTTGTAAAACTATACAAAAACCGAGTTACCCCGCTTTATAAGTATTCCAAATTTTAAAAAATATATAATATTGTTTTTTTAATTTGTATTTTCCAATAGATCGCGTGCATTCTCAAAAAACTGCTCAATAATCGGAGGTGAAAGTGACGCTCTTTTTGTAGATATATTGGAAGACAAACGGTTTGAAATCAGGTGTTTGTGTCTTTTAATAAAATTGGTTGCCCAATCTGGTCCAGGCAAGTTATTTTTAAGTCGTTTTTCTTGAAGGCCAAGTTTATCCAGATAAGCTTTTACCATTAGTCTTAAATCTAAAAGATCAAATGGGTATCCCCAGCTTGCTACAAGATTTAAGTGTTCCAGAAAAACAGTTTCCTCTTCCTGACTGAAGAGATTTGGACGACCTGGACGATCATTTTTGTTTTGTCTTGAAACACGTCGTGCAATTGTAGATTTTTTAACCAAGTATTTTTTTTCTGCTCCAAGAAGAGTTAACTTTTTTGCACGAAAGTCTTCAACTGCCCGCTGTAAATTCTCATTGCTATAAGCAAAATACGGTTTGTAGTTTTTACCATTTCTAGTATTCGATAACGTCCTTTTGTACTTCCGCACCATGTTGCGTCTCTAAAAAAAATTGTGGTTTGAAAAGTAACTAAACAGTACAATAATTACCTGCAGATACATGCAAGTACTTGTATTATACAAGATCCTGTAATAATAAGCAATTTCCCAAATAACCCCGATGGGGCTGTCCAAGTAGCCCCATTTTAGTAAAAATGTCGCCCAAGACATATTTTTCAATCAATTTTTTTGATTTTTTGATATTTTGCGGCAAATATACGTAACTTTTTGTCTGAATATTCATACTTACTCTGAAATCACTTATTTTGTTTCTAGAGCACAAAGTTGGACATACAAAAATTTTTCAAAAATGTAACGTCCGCGTTTTAAACAAATCACTGCCTTATCGGCTTCACATTTCTAGAACTCTGTACAAGAAACTTTTAGGTTCGAGACTAAACTCAACTTTTCCACTGGATGCGTTAGGAAAATATCACGATCAGCTCTGCTAGAGTGCGTTAAATACTTTTTTTGGTCGGTTCCCGAATATCCTCACATTTCCTGATTAGCCCCGTCTTACGGTACACAATCCTTAGTAACTTTTTTGATGGGAGGTATTTTATGTCGCTGTGGTGGCACTTCTGACCCGTCTTTTTGTCGTTGTTATGCACGTCATGAGTGCCACACTGAAAACGCGAAAGTTACTGTAGAATCAGACTCTTTTCTCTTATTTGTACATATAGAAAATTCGCTGTCTTAACACACTAAACTGAAAGTAGTAGATTTCGACACATATTTGTTTCAGTTTTTACGCAGCAGAAAACAAAAAAAAACATGTTTTTAATTCTAGCCCGAAGGTAAAGAAGGTTTATGTGCGTAATTCGCCAGCATCGAAGGGATTAAAAGTAAAGAACACGAAAAAAAAATTACTAAAGCTGCTTGGGGCCCAAACCCCAAAAATAATAAACAACGGTAATCCTCGAACAGATAAAAGCCTGCTAAAATCTTGTAGGTGTTAACCGTTACAATTTAAATCATTTGATTCATTTTCTTCTAAACCGTAATAATATTAATAAAACTAATTATGACCTTACACGAAAGCAGAAATTTTTCCGAACAATCGATCGCACTTTACACGAATTTAAAACGTAGCAATTGCTCGAAACTTCTTTTCAAACAACGTTCGAGTTCGTTATTTATTAACTCAACTAGACGAAGTTTGCTACGTTGACTGTAATTTTCCGCTAATTCCTTATTAAACAACTCCACCAAAGAGCACGAATAATAAGGTCTTCAATTTTGAACTCACGACTTAATTGTGCATGCATGCAGCTCTGATTAAACGAAAAAAACAAAAATTGCGCTACCTCGCTGCAGATATCATATTTTTAATTTTGAAAGTTAAAACAAGTTCGAGTCGATCCTCCGCTTATTAATAAAGATGCTTGCACTCGAGCTGTTTACTCGAATCGAAATTGAAAATTCCTGTTCCGTCTGGCATAAAAGTGCATGAAAGAATTCAGTAGTTAAGTGTGACTTTGTTGCAGTCTCACGTAGAGGCGATGCCCTCCCCCGAAATGTGCGTGCCCCAATCCGGGGGCACCCTGGGCCGCCCCCGTCCGCGCCCCCGCGACGTTTCGTACTCGTCATTCGCCACCATGAGGAGAGACCACATCATAGCCGAGGCTATTCCGGGACCTGAAAGTTGTGTTTAATGAACTGAATCAAACGGTGTCACCAGCTCCAGTCCGTCTCGGCGTCTCCTCTAGGACTCCTCGTTGGAACCACCTGGAGATGGTGACGCCTCGATAGCGCCTGTGATACAGGAGTAGATGCCAAGTGTTTTTAGTAAATGATTCTGTTTAGGTAGTGGAACAATCACAGACTCTCGAGCTTAATTGTTTTTAGATGGGACTCTCTTGAAACTATCAACGAAGAAACCTGACAAATGAACGACCGACCATATTTTCTAGGCCTACTGGCCGGACGGGGCCCGGTCCTGCGGCGGCCCGAAATTTCACACACGCAGTTTTTTATTGGCTCGGCCGCTGTGGGAGCGCGCGGTTCCGGCGACTCTGAACCTATCGGGCGTAAATAAATGTCTAACTTTTAATACGGATGAATGTTGTTAATGATTAGCTGTCCAATCATACTGTGTATGATTTACAAGATCGTTCTTTTCCGATCTGGTAAAAGCGAGTAAAATTTGAAACCGTTCCCACTTCAGTTACGCCGTTCTTTCATTACGAAATCCATTAATGGGCTTTGAAAGACGTTCGAATTACAAATACTAATTAAAAGCAGCGCTCTCTCTCTCTCTTTCTTTCGGAGATAAGTCAGTGTCAAATTTATTCAAATCGATAGGCCGAAATATTCCTAACGGTAATAAAAGCTTGGCGTATCTGTTCAAAGACTGTTTCCACTATGTATTTACTACGATTGTGTGTATGTACAATAAGTTATCAACTGTGTACATATGTTATTAGATGAATTTGTTTTAACATAAGAGCTTTATTGCTGTGCAATAATGTATTTTGTAAATAAAGTGTGCTTAATAAGAATGCGTGTGAGTTACAGACTATGTTGAGATGTTGTTTATATTATTTTATTCATGTACATAACTGATGAACCAATGAGAGTATTATTAATAAATATAAACTAAATGTGTATCCATTCTAATGCTTATTTCATACGTCACACACAATAACCCCAAAAAACCAAAATAAACAGCTATTAATCATTGTCACACCCGTAAGTAATAAAGCTTTTATCCCACTAGTAACGTAAACATCCATTACATTCCCTTCGTCAGCATGATATTAAATTTGTAATTATGTAGGAACTTTTCGAAGGGTACGAAACGTTTGTGGTTCCAAGGGAGACAGCGTTCATAATACTGTTCTCATCTCTAATGTAAGGATCCGCTGCATTCACAGATTATTTTCCGTTGTTTCTTCTCCACTTCACAGAGTGAATGATATTTAAGGGATCACCGTCTTCGCAGAAAGGTCTCGTACTTGGTTTATGACATTTCCGCAGCGATACAAGAAACAATGCACAGGGGCTTTCTGTCATTTCGGAATTTATGCTCGAGAAAAAAAGTGTCTCGGCTTCGGGTTTTAAATTTGTTGTATAGAATTAAATCGCTTTTTGATTTTTATTCAGTTTTAATGTAAGAATGTTTTTAAATAATTTGCGGTAAATCTGAAAATCAAAAAATTGTAAGACTGAAAAGTTGAAAAATTAAAAACTGAAAATTGGATAAAATAGAGTCATTGAAAAATCGAATAATTTAAAAATCAACAAATTACATATTCCTTTGCATAGTTTAACTTTTTAAAAAGCAATAAAATGAAGAAAATTGGAAATCCAAACACTACAATATTGTAATGTTACGTTGAACGGGTATTTAAAATCGGCGTAGGTAAAACTCAACAATTTATTTCCTAGAAACTCAAATTTACACGGCGATTATGTACAAAGTAATTCCGGCGCAACTTGACTGGACTCTGTCTTCGCTTAACTCGATTTGTTAACTGAATAATAATCGTTCCCGACCGTGGCCTCGATTTAAATCTATACGATCCTCTCGATGGATCGAGAACGCCGCTTCGAGGTTTTTCTGGGTTGGCCATCGCAACTTCCGCTTCCAGGCGGTTCGTCAGCTAACGCCGCTCGGCTGATGAGTCATTATCGCCGTACATACTAGAATCCATAGTATCGTAACAGTAAAATTGAAAATTCAAAAAATTGTAAAATAGCACAAATTAAAAACTGAAGCATTTAAAAATCGAAAATTTGTTAAAATGGAAAATTGGAAAATTCGAAAAACTAAATTTGAAAAATTGCATTCAAAAATTTTGAAGTTCAAAAACTGAAACTGGAAAAAAAAATTAATATTGAAAATTGAAAAATCCGAAAATGGAAATGTTCAATATCAAAAAACGAATAAATCATGTTGAAAAATCTAAAATTCGTAAAACTGAAAATTCGAAAAAATTAAAAATTGCGTTAAAAAAGTCAAGATTTGTTTTGAAAAATTGAGGAACCAAAAACGGCGAAATTGCAAAATCGACAACTGAAAAATGACATCGAAAAATCGAAAAATTTAAATGTTGAAAACCAAAAAGCGAAAAAAATTGGGAATTTGAAAAACTGAATAATTAAGAACAGAAAAATCGAAAAATTCAAAAATCAAAAAATTGCAAAATTGTAAAATCGGAAAATAGAAAACTTAATGAGTGAAAAATCGAAAATTCGTAAAACTGACATTAAAAAAAGTCAAAAGTTGAATTGAAAAATTGAAGAAACAACAACTGCGAAATTGGAAAACCGACAAACTGAAAATTTATACTGAAAAATCGAAAAATTAAGACGTTCAAAATCAAAAAACCCAAAAAAAATGGGAAACCGAAAATCTGAAAAATCAACAACTGAAGAACCTCAAAAGGAAAAATACAGGAAAATGAAAAATCCAAACATTGCAATATTGTAAAATTGGAAAATAGAAAAATTAAAAACTGAAACATTTGAAAACTAAAAAATCGAAAATTTGTAAAACTAGAAAATTAAAAATTCAAAAAACTGTAAAATTGAAAAATTGCATTAAAAAAATTAAAAGATGAAAAATAGAGAAACAGAAAATTGAAAATATTGCAAAATGGAAAATTCGAAAAACTGTAAAATACAAAAAATGAAAATAATTATAAAATTGAAGAATCGAAAAATTTTAGTCAAAAAAGGTAAACATTGAGAAATTGAATTGCAAAATTTTAAAATTAGAAATTGAAAAATCGAAAAATTAAAATGTTCAGTGCGAAAAAACTAATAAATCGTGTTGAAAAATCGAAACTTTGTAAAACTGAAAAACTGAAAATTCGAAAAAAAAATTGCATTAAAAAAGTCAAAAGCTGATCGAAAAATTGAAAAACAAAAAATTGCGAAATTGCAAAATCGACAAACTAAAAATTATGAACTGAAAAACCTAAAAACGAAAAACTAGAGAAAATGAAAAATCGAAAAATTAAACACTGAAAAATTTAATAGTTCAAACATCAAAAAATTGCAATTCCAAAAATTAAAAACTGAAACATTTAAAAATTAAAAAATCGAAAATTTGTAAAACTGTAAAATAGAAAACTCGGAAACTGTAAAACTGAAAAATTGCATTAAAAAATTTCAAAGTTGAAAAATAGGGAAACTGAAAATTGAAAATATTGCAAAATTTTAAAATCGCAAAACCTGCAACACAGAATAATTGATAAATTAAAAATGGAAAATTCGAAAAATCGTTAAATAGAAAAATTGAAAAATCGAAAAATTAAAATTGAAAAACTGAAAATTTGAAAAAATGAAAAATTGCATTTAAAAAGTCAAAAGTTGAATCGAAAAATTGAAAAACCAAAAACTGCGAAAGTGCAAAATCGACAAATTGAAAAGTTCCATTGAAAAATCGAAAAATTAAAATGTTCAAAATCAAAAAACGAAGAAAAAATGAGAAATTGAAAAACTGAAAATTTAAGAACTGAAAAACCTAAAAACTGAACAAGCCATTAATGTGAAAAAACGAATAAATCAAGAAATTGAACAATTAAAAATCGGAAAAATATAAAATCAACAAACTGAAAAACCTAAAAATTGGAAAACGAGAATTTGAACAACTGGAAAATTGAAAATTAGAAAAACTAAAAAAAATCGCAAATCGAAAAACTGCAGACTAAAAAACTGAAAAAATGAAATACCGAAAAATTCAGTACATTGTCGAAAAATCGAGAAACCGAAAAATCGGAAAATTGAAGATCCAAAAAATTCCAAAATTGTAAAATCGAAAAAATGAAACAAAATTTGAAAAACTGAAAAGTCGAAAATTTGCAAAATCTAAAAATAGGAAAAAATAATAAATAGAAATATCGAAAAGTTAAAATGTTCAAAATCATCGAGAAATTGAAAAAATAAAAATCAAGAAATTGTAAAATCTAAACATTACAAAGTTGTAAAATTGCAAAATCAAAATATTCAAAAATCGAAAAATTGAAAAATCAAAAATTGAAAAACCTAAAAATTGAATATTCAAAAATTGTAAAATTGAAAAATCGCAAATACAAAAATTGCAAATTAAAAGACTGAAGAAATAAAAAATTGCAAAATTCAGTAGTTGAAAAATCGAGAAACAGAAGACTGAACAGTCGAAAAAATTTCAAAAAAATAAAAAATTGCAAAATCGAAAGATTCCAAAATGATTAAATTGAAAAATTACGTTGAAAAAATTAAAAGTTAAAAAGTCGAGAAACTGAAAAATTAATAAATTAAATATAGAATATTCGAAAAATTGAAAAAATTGAAAAATTTAGATGCTCGAAGTCAAAAAAGGAAAAAAATAAAGATTTTGAGGAAACGTTGCAAAATTTTAAAACTCAAAATTGAAAATTCGAAAAGTAAAAACGTTCAATGTCAAAAAACGAATAAATCGTGTCGAAAAATGGAAAAATTCATTCAAAAAAGTCAAAAGTTTAATTGAAAAACTGAAAAACCAAAAACTGTGGAATTTCAAAATTGAGAAACTGAAAAATTTTAAAAATAGTTACAATTAAAATGTTCAAAGTCAAAAAACCAAAACAAAAAACTGGGGAAATGTAAACTCGAAACATTGCAAAATTATTAAAATATTGAAAAATCGGAAAACTGAAAAACCTAAAGATTTTAAAATTCAAAAATCGCAAATCGAAAAATTGCAGATTAAAAAAACTGAAGAATTGAAGAACTGACAAATCGAGAAACCGAAAAATCGGAGGACTGAAAATCTAAAAAATCCAAAATCATCAAATCAAAAAATTGCAAAAATTAAAAATTAAAAATCGAAAATTGCAAAATTAAAAAAATGGGACATTAAAAACTGAGAAAACGAAAAATTGAACAATTAAAAATGAAAATCCTAAAAACTGAAAAGTCGAAAAATGGCAAAATCGAAAAATTGAAAAAAAATGATGAATTAAAAACCAAAAAATTGTAAATTCCCAAAATTGCAAAATCAAAGCATACCAAAATTGAAAGGTTAAAAACAGATAAACCTAAAATTGAAATTTCGAAAAACTGTAAAATTGAAAAATCGCAAATTCAAAACTTACAAATCCAAAAACTGAAGAAATGATAAATTGAAAAATTCAGTAGTTGAAAAATCGGAAAACTGAATAATCGAAAAAATTCCAGAATTGTAAAATCGAAAAATTTCAACACCAAAAAATTGAAAATGGAAAACTGAAGAACCGAGAAATTGAAAGTCAAAACACTGTAAAATTAAAAATTCGAAAAATGAAAAAGATAGTAAAATTAAGAAATCGAAAAATTTAAATGTTCCAAATTAAAAAAGGAAAAAATAGGGAAATTGAGGAGTTGAAAAATCGAAACGTTGCAAAATTTTAAAATTAAAACTTGAAAATTCGAAACGTGAAAACGCTCAGTGAAAGATTGAAAAAATAGTTACATTGAAAAATCGAACAATTAAAATGTTCAAAGTCAAAAAACGAAAAAAATAAAAATCGGAAAACTGAAAAACCTAAAAATTGGAAAATCGAGAATTTCAAAACTTGGAAAATTGAAAATTTGAAAAAATGTAACATTGAAAAATTGTAATCAAAAAATTGCAGATAAAAAACTGAAGAATTGAAAAACTGAAAAATCGGAAGATTGAAGATTGCAACACTGCAAAGTTGAAAATTCGAAAATTTAAAAATTGTAAATCGAAAAATTAAAAAATTCAGAGTTAAAAGAGGAAAAAATCGAAAAAAATTTGTAATCGACAAAGAAAAATAAAAAAATTGTAAATTTCAAAATTTCTAAAATCGCCAATCAAAAAATTTCAGATTGAAAAACTGAAGAAATGAAAAATTAAAAAATCTAATAATTGACAAAATTCAGAAGTTGACGAAAAAATTGATAATTCGGATCATTGAAAGATCAAAAAACTATAGAGTTTCACAGTTTATAAACGAGAAATTCCAGAAAATGAAAAATTAAAAATTCTATACTTAATTGAATTGCAAACCGAAAATTAGCAAATAGAAAAACTAAAAAGAAATTCGAACATCGGAAATTTGAAAAATAAAAATCAAAAGTCGATAAAAGGAATAATATTCTAATTTGCGCTAGTTTCAGTTTGACCTGTTCTTTTTTGTAAGCTGGTCGATACGTGTGCGAAAATTAATGTTTGCCAAGTACTGGAGACTGAAAGCTATATAGAACTACGTTTTAACTCTGTTTGCTGTAGAGTTAGTTTCAAACTTGTTCTAAGTATAAATTTCAAAAAATAACATTTTGATGTAGGCAACGAGTAATACTCTACAAAATTATTGCGACTTATAACTTATGTAAACAAAACATTTTAATTTTTACATATTATTGCATCAAATACTGTCTGTCCATCAGTAGTTACTTTACAAATGAATTTATCACAAATGATTACATATAAAATTACTGACTTGCAGTGATCTATAATGTGTATAGTTGGTTGCATAAAAAAAAACACAATTTATAAAACTGAACTTACTATGAGGGTTTATTAAAAAAACAAACACACTCTTCTTCTACCCTTATATTTTTTCCTTCAATTCCTCCGACTTTTCTACAGAATGATACCTATTCAAATGATTCACTAAATGGTGTGAATACCCAAACATCCTCTCACAAAACTTACACTTAAAAGGAGTCTCCCCTGAATGCACCCTCATATGCCTATACAAAACACTACTAAAAGTAAACCTTTTCTCGCATATCTTACAACAAAACTCTTTAACACCATCATGAATCCTCATATGATTCTTCAAAATCTGCCTAATCTTGAACCTCTTCTGACAAACACTGCAACTATACGGTTTCTCATCAGAATGAGACTTAAGATGTTGAGACAAAGTCTTCTCATTGGCCAGAGTCTTTCCACAGACAAAACACTGCACAGCTGGCCCCTTCTTGTGATTCTTCACATGCCGGCTGAAAAAATACGGATGCGAAAATTCTTTACTGCAGATTTCACAAATGAATTGCTTTTCAGTGGAGTGGATCGTGCAATGCACTAGCAACTGACTGCGGAACCTGAATTTCTTGCCACAGGTTTCACAAACAAATGAAGATGCGTCGATTTCGTTGGAGTGGTGAGACTTTGTATGAACTTGGAGACCACCTAACTGCCTTCAAATATATAATATTCAGTATTGTAAGTATGTACGTACGAAAAATGACTTACTTGTAAGTTTTGCCACATTCATTACACTTGTAGGGGCGACTACTAGAATGAACAGTTTGATGTTTTCGAAAACTCGTTTTATAAATAAATTTTTTGTCACAGATTTTACACGAATAAGGTTCCGCCCCTGTGTGTGTAGTACTATGGGCGACTAATTCATGATTATACCGAAACGACTTATCACAACCAGGGCAGAAAAATGTCTTTTCTCGTCGTTTTACCCTTTTTCTTTTGGGTGGTTTAATATCAATTTGTGACAAATTTTCTACATTTTCGTTTATTTCAACACATTTATAGTCCAAGTGGGGCTCTTCTTTTATTATTATGGTGATCGTGGAAGGCGGGATACACTCCAGAGGGTCTTCATCAGTCAGCGACTTTGTCTGTTTCAATTTAAAATCAGACTCCCTGATTAAAGCTTGAAAATCTACGAAATTGTTGATTTTTTCGTCACAATTTGGGCAAATGTGAATCGGTAATCCATCGTTTTCGTCAACCTGCAATTTTTACAGTATTATTAATAAATCTGAAGTGTTTTATTTGAAAAAACCTAACCTCAATTGATGCGAAACTTTGCAAAATTTCGGCTACTTGTTGTCCATTTTTGGCTTCTCTGAAAATGCTACTGGTTGGTTCTGTTTTAAACAAACAGACTCTGCATAAATCCATCTTGTTTTGTTATAAATAATTTTTTAATAATAATTTTTTATTTTGTTGTTGCCATAACATAACCTTCACAGAATATGACAGTTGGCGGTAATTTCAAAAACATTTTCCTAACCTAAATAATAAATTGACCATAATAAACCCTTTTAGGTTAAAAAATTACAACGGAACGGTTTCTAACAATACAAAAAACGCTCAAGGTTTCACAATTTATTGTTACGAATATTTTATTCCAGGAAAAACGATTAACATGGTTATCGCTCGTTAGGCAACACACAATACACGTCACAGTCGATCACTCAAATTTTATGCGAATGTTTTGACTCATGGTAGCCTACAACAAATTGTGATTACATGTATTTATTCTAAACAAGTTTATTGATTATACGATTAATAAACAACCACTACAAGGCCTGCAAGTGAAACGTCTATAATCACGTGTGACAATCGAATTGGTCCTGACGTTGCTTATTACTATCTTATTGAAGCACAAATTCACATACGGAGTAGACAAAAATGAAAGGTAAGTTATCAAAAACTAAAGCCCCCGTACACCAAAACCCAAAAAAAAATAAAAAATTCAAAAACAACACAAAAATAAATGTGCTATACTTTATTTCAAAAAAACTTTTTCCTCCGCAACCATTATTTCTTCGTTAAGTTTTCGACCATCTGCTTGAACAGAACAACCCCCTTTCCGTTCGCCTCCTCATACCCGGGCGCCGCCGCCTTAACTCTAGCCAGCCAATCCACCACGTTCTTGTAGGCGGACAGGTCAAAATTGACGGCTTCGAATGAGGTCACTGTAGCCAGGAGTGACAAGTCGGCGAGTGTGAGTTGACTCCCGGCCACAAATTCGTCGTTTTGCAAAAACGAGTCCAGAAAACCCAAGGCCTCCTTAATTTTATCGAGCTTTGCAGGATCGTACTCTCCCCCTCCGAATATTACGGGGTACTAAAAATGAGTCAGGTGAGTTGGATGGGGCGAAAATGTCTGAATCGTACGTAGTAGTCGGCGAATCTTGCGTACAAAGTACCCAGGTCGAAGTACAGCCTCTGGTCCACCACAGCGCGTTTTTTGGGGTCCTTGGGGTAGAGGGAGTCGTTTTTGGCATATTGATCGGCCAAGTAGGTCATAATGGCCCTGCTTTCCCATAGGGCAAAACCGTTGTCAACGAGAGTGGGAACAGTGTGTTGCGGGTTAATCTATAAAATATTAGACGTTCAAAAAAGTCAAAACTGGTAAACGTCATCTTATGAAAATAGAAGAAGTATAGTTTTAATTTCGTCGGTGTGATTGTGGTTTAGTAACAAATGTTTCAAGGTGAATTTTGACATTAATACCCAAAATGGCTGCCTACTGCCAGTTCTTCTAATCAATGATAAAACCTACTTTTTTAGATGTTACGATATGCTCGGAACTCATATTAAGTTTGAACGGAAACATAAATATTTTTATGGACTAATAAATCAATAATGTTCTACTAGAGCAAAAAAAGAATAAATGCATAATTTTTAAGTCGAAACTTTTTCTAAATGAATCTTTAAGTTTCATTTGATTGAAAATAGGTCAGCTATTGTTTGTTGGAAATATCGATACGTGGGAAAAAGTTTAATGGGATATTGAATAGCATAGATAGAATAGGAAATGATGGGGCACTTACCACCCCTGAGCCGCCCCTCGCCACATTTTAATGCAAAATAGAATAAGATTGTTTTCATACAATAACAACTTGATTTGTAATTTCTAATCTGAATGAAGTTTAAATTTTAATTATTATTCTTCGTGACTATAAAAAATGTATAATAAGTAGTTTTAGCACACTCTTTAATTTTTGTGCTATAATAAACTCAGCGCAAAAAATAAAGTTATAGTTGGTAACAAGTTAAAAAAACTTCGGTTGCACCATAATTAAATCAACGTTGTAACGAATCTGAATACTAACTATTCTTTTCTAATTAAGTCTCCAACAAAAGAATTGAACAAGATAAAAGATTTTAATTTACTGCCAACCTTTTGTGGTAAAAAATAACCTTGTTGTGGTTCGAATTTTTATAATTGACCTCGCGCAGTCGAATCTACACCATCATGTCTTCTACAAATCTTATTAAAAAAAAACCCACTTATACTTAAATTACAAATATTTGAAAGTATTGTTCTTATCCAATTGCCAAAACCATCAATAAAATATTTTATTAACATATGCTAACACGAATTCAGATTCAGATAATCAATAAAACAGAAATAAATCTAAATATAAAAATCCAACTTAGCATCGTATGTTTCGTGATCATACGTACTATGCATCTCTTCCTCTCTACAGCAATTTAAAAAGGAAACAGTAATTTAAAATGTTTCAAGGCTATAACGCGGTTTCGTGCGGCTATAAATCCGGGACAAAGAAATCTAAACCTCTTGTTTCAGTTTCAACAATTAATAAAATACATAGTAGACGACTTTACGTAATAAATTCCATTAAATTGTCGTTTGCGGGTTTCGTAACGCAGAAGTATGCGTTTTTAATCGTAGGTTACCATACAGTGGACAAAAAAGGAAATGCACGGAACACGCCTCTGTATGGTACACATTTATTAGATTTTATGACATAGTTAAACATTGCAATGCAGTTATTGCGAACTTACTAATAAGTACATAGCATTGCAAAAAATATTGTCGGACTTACCTTAATGAATTCCGGCGTCAAATGCTCCCCTTTCATAAGATCTGTTAATTTTAAATTCAACTCGACTCCTAGTGCTTTAGCTGCTAAGAGTACGCCCCTGCATGGTGCACTTCCTGGTAGATAATAGAAGTCTATCGGCATTTTGTCAACTATACTATAAACAAAAAATTAACAATCTATTATTACAATGTTTAGTCACAAAATAAAATAATAGACCGTTGCGTAACAGTTATCAACCCATAAACCTCAACTTATCACTAAAAGTTTATTTATAGTTGACTAAAAAGTTTAGAATTTCGAGTACTAGTTTGCACCACAGGACGCATTAAAAATTAGCGAAACTTTGTTGCTGCATAAAAATGATAAAAAGGTTATCATAATACGATATCTCGGTACACAAACTAAGCAAACATTTACCTTTATTTTTATTCCGGTGAAGAAAGCCAACACGATATGTCGAACGTCGAACAACGTGGACTGTAAAACGTTAAAGTACGAACAACGCTCGAAGGAAAGCTCGAGTGCGACTGCGAAAGAGAGACCGAAACTTGGCCGGTTTACATGGGTTTTGTTGTTGCCATTGCGTCATTGGCTGCTAGCCGAACGGGCTCCATTGTCAAAGTTCTTTCTTCTGCGAACTCATTCACGCTTTAATTGTCATCAAAATTGGAATTTGTGTAAAGGTTTCCTACTTTGTCGATAATTTGGCCATTAATTAGGTCGACGTTTGAAGGCGCTTTATGTTTTTTTGTACTTTGTAGCGACTAGAATACGAAAACGCACGTCGACCACAAAAAGATCCGTTCATACAATATAGGTAGAGAGAAATTATTGCATGCCATTATGTTTCTAAAATTGAAGCGAATTACTGCAGTTGCTTAACGCCAAAACTTACAGAAATAGCTGGCGGAGGAAAAACTTGCTGTTGACTGTACAGTGCATGAACACGCGATCTGCAAAAAACAGAATCGTGCAAATTCACTTTGAAGTGAACTTGAGATTCTTCGAATTTCCAATAAGGTCCAAAATCAACACAGCTTAAATTTTTCTTTATAAAAACAAACAGTGTTTGAAGTTATTATTTATTGGAGAAGTTTGAAGTCCAGCTGTATCGATTTGGAATGACGTTTATGTTATTGTTTGTTGCGTGTAAAAGTCTGCATCAAGAACTGAATTTTCCCCCAGTCGATGACGTTTTTGCTTAAATATATTTTTTTAAGTAGCTGAAGTGTTTTGAAAAATATATAGTGTCAGTCGTACTGTCGTCGGCAGGCAGCGGATGGTTCACCGTACGGTAAGTATGCTCAAAAACGGTGTCGTGTTTTCTGCAAAGCTACTTCTATTTATGAATTAGATATACATTTTAAGATATACGATGTTTAAGGGAAATATTTGGTGGGTGTGCCACTAAGAAATCGTTTAAGCGATTCTATTAACTTAACGACCTGTGTATTTGACGCTTAAGTATCAATCGAAGGCGTTCCGATCACCTTAATCGTGCAATAGTGAGAAATGAGGAAAAGTTCTAAAATTAGAACATTCCTCTAGGTAACTGCCAAACTGGCGTACCGTTAATTTTACATTACTACATATTATACACACTCGACAAAATATTTAATTTAATAAGGTTTAAATTTTGGACAGACAACCGAGTTTATTGACCATTCCCTCTCACAAATTACTAGTGTATTAGCAAGAATTCGTTTTTCCACTTTACTCATAGCATGTTCGGATTCTAAAATAATAATTATTTGTGTCACTTTAGCGCTTAAGGGAATTACGTTTTTTTTTTCCAGTTAATGATAATTGTATTTTTTCGTTTTCAATTTTTGAACGAAGTATAGTTTTATGTATAAATAGGAGAAATCACCTCACGAATCAGATTAGAAACTTCATGTTCCATGCATTAGACTGTTTATACTTTTGCATGATGTGGTAATGCTCTGGGGTCATCAGATTTTTTTAGTTTGGAGCCGACACCTCACGAACTTTGAAACGCGCTCGAGATGTGGATTTGGACTTAAATTGAGGTCACTTTGCGTAAGTAATAAAGCGTCATACTTAAAATGTGTATACTATAGAGACGAATAACCTTCAACCTTAAAAGTTACAAATATAAAAAAATAGCTACCTTTTTTCCTAAAATTTTATTGTCACAGTCAGTACTTCTTACAGGTCGCCGTTAAAAGGATTATTATGAGGCAATAAAATCTGAACATTTGTTTGGGTTTTTCTACTATTTTTCTAAATATGTGTATCTGAAGATTTGTTATAGTTTGATTTATAGATTTATAAGGGGACTAAAAATTTAACTAGGTACATGTCGACTGAGCATACAGTAGACATTTATAATGCGTTTTTAGATAATCCCGACAACATTGAAAATTTTACTATTCAGAACTTGATTTTCTGTAAATTTGTAGCTTAAATCAAGAGATTGGTAACACAACAAGCGTAGCTAATTATTGCTGTTTTTCTAATCGAAAATATGCGAATTTGCGACCGACGCCAACACGTGGTGTAAAATTGATTCATTGTTTGTAGATTCACAGTTCATGTTAGGAGTTTAATCGTTAACTGATTCGAACACAATTTAACACTCATGAGATTTGTTCAAATAACGTACTTGCTAGGAAATTTCATGAAATTCGCTTAGTCAGGACTCATCCTTTGTTTATCAAGTTATGAATAAGGTATCTGGATGCTTATAATTAAGTGTTACATTATAACAATTCTTAATTTCTCACACAAGATTGTTAATAGTTCATTTACGAATCCATTTTGTGTTTATTTATCATGTGGTATCATTGAACATAATGTAAATTCCTTGTTTGAATCGTTGATAAAGTGTGGCATAATTTAACATCAGGTAAATTCTTTGTTCTGGCAGCGGCCATGTTCAAAGCGTATTTTCAAACTGAATACATGTTTGAACTGTAAAATCTTATTGAACAAATTAACGACGTTGTGGGTCATGGAGGACGTGCATTTTATTCCTTTGATTTAGACCATTATTTGCACAGCGCTACAGGACTGATCACATTTCTGGCAGACATATTTTCAACGTTTGCCTGCTATGTTCTCTATGTGTTTGTTTGGGGCATGTGTAACAATGGCCCACAATGCAACTGAATAACTTCACTTTTTAAAATATAACCAATAATTCGAATGGGCACGAAATATTGACCTCATGTAATGTTTTTATAAATCCTTGCTAGTTTTTTTGTCACGTAAATATTTTGTTGATTAATGCTTCCATCATATAAATTGTCTGCTATTCAATCTTAATCTCATCTAAGAATTCTTTGCTGTTTAAAATTTCCCAAAAGTGTATGGCCAATTTAAATGTTGTTTATTGCTCTTTTTGAAACTTTAACATTTGTTCAATGGTAGTTTAATATCAGAGTCATAGAAATTGAAGATTTAAATGGAATTGCGGTAAATAACACTGGAACACGTGGCGGAAGCGGAGTGCGCGGTTCCTTGTTGAGCTAGCGGCCTATAATAGGAGCTAGAGGCGGTCGGAATGACGTGACGCTGTCAGCTTCTGAGGTGCTGTACGGCAGTGTTTGCGATAGAATAGAATCATCGTCGTGGGTAGGAGAATAGCCACAACCAGGAGCCCCAAACTTCGCTCGTGCTACAACGCCCCCTATGAGTGATTTTGCTGTGCTCTATAAATGAAATCGAAATAGTTCGATCGCCACACTCTTATAGCGCTCTGGTGCCGCTGTCGCTGCATACAATTTTTATTAGAATTCTGTTCTTTTGGTCATAATTTTAAATTTGCCGTCATACGTCCGTAATAACTTGTGTATTTGCATCCAGTTACTTTAATTCAGATTTTTCTGTTTTTATTAAATTTGTGATATTCAAATATTTGCATTGGTTCAGAACGTTTGATTTCATTCAAGCTTCTTTTATAGCTGAGCATTAAGGGGTGCCTTCAACCGGCGCAACTTATTAGTCAGCTTTTTTTTGACAGTGGAGGAATAAACATTTTTTGTTCTCCATTTATTTTGTGTTTTATTTAGCGGTATTTTTCCAACCTTGGGGTCCACCATTTTGTTAGACGATCACAGTCAAGGCCAATTTTTTGAATTTTTCGCGGGTTTTAATTTTGATCGTATTGTAGAAAATAAGACTTATTTTGAAAAAAAAAAAAATAGGGGATGAAAAATAGACTACGTAATTGAAAAAAAATAATAAAGAAATAGGTAATGAATAATCTTATTCTCTCAAAAGCACAAGATCAAAAGAAGAAAAAAATTAATACAAAAAAAATTACTACTCACAACTTGACTTTTCTTTTTCTGTAAATTTGTAGCGTAAATCGATATATCTGGCAACATTGGTGACGCAGATGGACATAATTCCAACCTCAAATTGACCATTTAATATCATAAGCATTCTATTGTTGAAAAAGAAAGTCAAAATATAAGCTCCACCTACCCGCCCCATCTCAGTTGTGATTTTTTTTATTCGTCGTGAGACAGGGGGGCGGAGCTTAAATGCAAAGCTCGTATTTCTCTACATGAAATCACCATGTGATGCATGTTTTAAGTTTCGTGTTGTTGACAGAAAATACACATGTTAAGAAAAATAAATAAATTAAGCCCCACCCACCCGCCCAGATCTCAATCGTGATGAATTTTTTTATTCGTTATGAGATCGAGGGGCGGAATTTAATTGCAAAGTCCATATATTTGCCGCTTGATCATTGTAGAAAATGTACTACATATTTTGAAAATAAAAATAGGGAATGAATAATTTTATTGTTTCAAAAGCAAAAGGAGATCAAAAGAAGAGAAGAAATATATAAAAATAAAAATTTTACTATTCATCACTTGACTTTTCTGTAACTTTGTAGCGTAAATCGATGGACATAATTCAAACCTCAAATTGACCATTTAATATTAGAAATATTTTATTGTTGACAGAAGATCATGTATATTGCGAAAAGAAAGTCAAAATATAAGCTCTACCCACCATATCAATTGTGATTTTTTTTATTCGTCGTGAGACAGGAGCATAAATGCAAAGTTCGTATTTCTCTACATGAAATTACCATGTAAAACTCAAGTATTGTGTTGTTGAAAGAAAACTACACATGTTCAGAAAAAAAAGCCACAAATTAAGCCCCACCCACCCGCCCTGATTTCAATTGTGATGAATTTTTTATTCGTTATGAGATTGAAGGGCGGAGCTTAATTGCAAAGTTCATATATTTGAGGTTTGATCCTGTTGTAAAAATAAAAATATTACTATTCACAACTTGACTTTTCTGAAAATTTGTAGCGTAAACGGCAGATTTGGCAACAAAGCTTGACATAATTCTAATCTCAAATTGACCATTTCATATTTTAAGTATTTTATTGTTAAAGAAAACAATGTATATTACGAAGCTCCACCCACCCGTCCCATCTCAATTGTGATTTTTTTTTATTCATCGTGAGAGAGGGGGCGGAGCCTAAATGCAGTTCGTATTTCTCTACATGAAATGAGAACTACATACATATGTATGACAATTGTGAAAATAATTAATTCTCTTAAACCATTTTAATTTTTCCCAAAAACCTACAGGCACAAGATTGGACTAATAATAAACCACAAGTATAGAGAATACTATTTTGCATATTTTAACAGAGATTTGTTTCGTAAAATAAAGTTATCAAATTTTTGGTGGGTGTTATAGTTACAAATAAATTTAGTTAACGTTTTACTACTCATTGATATTCTTAAAATAGACCTGAAATTTCACAACAAACTGTCTAGCAGTTTCGGAAATTACTTGTCACCGCCAACAGACAACAGACAGACGGAAATGGGGCCTACTTTTTCATATTCTACAAACCGACGAAGACTGAATTTTAATTATCACGGTGGTAATTATCTTCGTCTTTCATATAATAAAAAAAGCAATCTGTCGTGATACGTAAAGGCATTTTGAATTTCCCGCCCTAATTCAAATGTCTAAATGCTTCGACAGTTGCGATGCTCCTTACATGGCCACTGGATCAAGTCACCCAATTAAAACATTTGAACCGCAAAATATCTTAACCTAACCTTACCAAAATACTTCCGATAGTCCGGTTTTAGAGACGTAACACTAATTTTTTAAGGCATTTCAACATTTCCTGTACAAGGTAAAATCTCAGCAGCTATAATACAAACAATAAGACATACATGTAACACGTAACTGTTAAAACACTGCACGGATGTTTCTCCCAAAAATAAAGTAACAACGTCATCTAGGTGCTTGTTTATTTATGAAAAAAATGTAAATTAGTCTACGTTTTACAACTTGAATAATTGATTGATCCTATCCAAGTAGCATATATTTAAATTCAATGGTATCTATACATGGTTGACCAATAATGCGAAACTCAACACTTGCCACTGTCAGACGACTAGTCCTCATTTTCTTCCAATAATTTATATTTGGATTATTGCCAGTAAACAAATTGTACAATATACAGTCCATCTTCCACCCTCCAGCAGCAGTAATAAATTACTGATACAACATAACTGTATAAATATTATTATATACACAACATAATGTACTTATCAAAAACACACTCTTCATGTACAGTTCCATCCCAGAAAAGAAAATTACAGCAACGTTCGCTAAGGATGTTCAATAAATAGTTTTGGGCACACTGAGCACTTATCGGTGACGAATCACACTATTGTCAATCTAGAACCACGACCGCGTGATCATCGTATTTCGTTTTTAACTGTCTCCACGGTTTACGAGCTGCTCTTCGCAAATCTGAGAGAGAGACTTGCCTTCGCATTCGCCTGCAACAGAACTACGTTGTACACACTACAAATACCACACTCAAACTACTCACTTGCTACCTTCGGTTGCTCTAAAATATACATCGTCGGGGGCGTCCATCCAACTTATGACCTGTTTGCGGCCTGACCCTGTCCGAGTCATGTGCGCGATTTTTGGTTTGCCGTTTATTTGGGATATATGACGTGGCAGGACTTGTCCTTGGACCATTGAAGATGGCATCATTGAAGGATACTGGTCAGGGCGCACCAACGCGACCGGGTCCTTACTCAACCGCTTCGGAGGAGGTGCACTCAGAGCGGAACCTACAAACACAGGTACAGAAATTTGCTCGACTTGCGCATGCGTTAGAAGAGCGATTTTACAAGTAGGTAAGTGTTTTTTTTTTTAATTTTGACACGAATACGTTTTTGTTGACAGTCAAACCCAACCGCTTTTACAAAATTCCAGAACTCACCATCATCCCAATCCAAGTCAGAATAGAAGCCAATAAGAAAAAAGTAAATTTAGTTGTTTTCAACAAAAACCACCGAACTGAGTACTTACTGTCTATACCGTTCATCTCGTCGTAGGCTCGTCGCTTCAACGACGGCGACATGTTATTCAGCGGAATCTTATCCACCTCGGGCTTGTTTGGCACCCTCTCGTACAGCAAACTCCCGTCGGGTCCGATCGGCGGCTTCGGGAACGCCACCTTCTCCGGCTTCGGCAGATTCTCCTTATCCGTCAGGATCAGCCACTGCGGCGTCACCGACCCGGGGTTCCCCAGTCTCGTGGCGATCGCCGTCACGCTGCCCCTGTTCTTCTTCCTATAAACTAGCAACTGCTTGAGATCGGTGAGCGACTTGCCAATCATCTGGGCCGTGCACTCCTGCTTGACCGCCTGTATGTTGATGGCGAAAAATGGCGCCCGAGCCGCGTGCCGCGGTTTCATGATGTGTCGGCACAGCCGCCTCGAAATCCGCGTCAGCGGCGTCGTGAACAGGTAGAAGGCCGTGCGGGTCTTCATTATGGGCCGAGGCGAGCCGGAGCGGACCACGATGCCGTGGGCGGTGGCGTAGTGCCTGCCCAAGTGGGCTTTCAGTTTGAACTCTTTGCCGCAGCCGCCGATGTTGCAGCGGTGGGGGCGGTGGGACATTATCGCCGACATGCGGTCGTCGTCGACGTCGCTGCCCGATTTTTTCTTGGTGCCGTTGTCGAAGTCGCCGTCGCCGAAACGGGTCGGGTTCTTCAAGCCGCCGTACTTTTTCCAGTACTGCCAGCACGTGTGGCAGAGGCGACACTGCATGTGCGAGGGGCCCCAGGCGTACCACTGGTTCGATACGGCCACTGAAACGGAACGTAAATAAACATTCGTTTTCTACAAAAAATCGAGTCATGATTCTACGTAGTATTTGTAACATTGCAATCACTATCCCTTCCAAAAACCTAATTAAGTCACCTCAATATTTTGCAAGCGATTTTTTTGAACTGTTTTTAGAAAAATATTAAAACTATTATATTTAGTTTATAGGATGTTAAAGAAACCGGTGTGTCGCAGATTTTAAATGAGGTTTACTGAACAAAATTCAAACATGACGTCATCACTTTTTTGGAGCAACAAGTTTGATTGGCATTTTACCGTCTCACAATAATATCGTGCGATCAAAAATAAAACGAATTACGAGTTGATGTTGCGAGACCAGCTTTAGTTGGTACTACTGCCCCAAATTTGACGTACGTCAATGTTAACATAACCTTTAACTAAACAGTTTGGTGGGTGTTGACAAATATGATCTATTTCACGTGTAAATTTTTGACACTAACAGCTAACAGACATGTTACATGATAAAATTATGTAATATGTCAGTTGTGTAGTACCGCGTGATCAGAAATGACTGTGTCTGTTGGCAATACTTTTTAAATATAAAGTGTTTATGTTGGTATGACGGAAGTAATTTTGTGCCAGATATATCAATCGTGACATGCGATAAATTTAGGTCATGCTTTGGATACATTTCACAAATTTAAAAATGTCAACAATCTGTCAATTTTGACAGCTGACAACTGGAAATTATAGAAAACATGATACCAATTTCTTTACCTCACCAATTATATAACTGGTCGCATAATACCGCGTGATCACAAATGATTTGAGTCTGTTGTCAGTACTTTTTAAATATAAAATGTGAACTAATCTTGTGTTCATGTTGGTATAATGGAACTAATTCTGTGACAGATATACTAATCGGGACATACGATAAATTTAAGTTTGTTTTCGACATATTTTACAAATTTAAAAATGCCAACAATCTGTCAATCTTGACAGCCGACAACCGGAAATTGTAAAGAACATAGTGATCCATTTCAACCAAAAATTCAGACCCACTCATTTGATTGATCGAATAAAACCGCATGATCAGAAATGACTTAATCTGTTGGTACTAATGTGAACTATTCTTGCGTTTATGTTGACATAAAGGAAGTAATTAGTGACAGATATGTCAATCGTGACACGCGATAAATGTAGCTTATATTTTAGATACATTTTGCAAATTTAAAAATGTCAACAATCTTGACAGCTGGCAACCTCAAATTATCGAAAATATCGTGATACAAATATCAACTAAAAACCCAAGGTTGCCAACAAACTCGGTCATTTCTGATCACGCGGTATTGACATCTATACTACCATGATTTTTAAGCCCCACCCACCCGCCCCGGTCTCAATTGTAATGAATTTTTTCTGCGTTATGAAATCGGGAGACGGAGCTTAATTGCAAAGTATATTGGAGGCAGAGAATAGACTATTTTGAGAAAAAAAGGGAATGAAAATTCTTATTCTCTCAAAAGCGAAAGAAGAAAACAACTAGAAAAATAAAAATTTTATTAAAAACAACTTGGACTTTTCTGAAAATTACGAAAAAAAAAATCAAAATATAAGCTCCATCCACCTGCCCCATCTCAGTTGTGCTATATTTTTTTATTCGTCGTGAGACGGGGGGCGGAGCTTAAGTTCATATATCTCTCCATGAAGTTACTATGTGAAACGTGTTTTAAGTATCGTGTTGTTGAAACAAAACTACACATGTTAAGAAAAAAAAAAGCCAAAAATTAAGCCCCACCCACCCGCCCCGGTCTCAATTGTAATGAATTTTTTATTCGTTATGAGATCGGGAGGCGGAGTTTAATTGCCAAAGTCTGTATGCAGGGGTCTCTTTTATCTAACACAACCCCTGTAAATTTTTTATTCTTAAAAATAAACCTATGGTTCTTTGAGCAAATTTGTATCATTTTAAAAAATCTGTGTGATAGCATTTTTATTATCACTTCTGGTAGAACCGGAAATGACGTCGATTTTTTTTTTATGGAACACTAGGTATATTTTTTCATGGAAACACTGATTTTTTCTAAAAAAATCAAAAGCAACCAATATTCTAAACTCAATATTTAAAAAGTTATTCAATAAAATAAATCAAAAAATTATATTTATTTATGACGATTTCGTAATTTGAAAAATTGACACTCATGTCATTTATTCACATAAGTGATCTTTAAAAATAAAAAAAATACAGGGGTTCTATCAAATAACAGAAACACGTGATATTTAAGGCATAATCGTATTGCAGAAAAGACTATTTTGAGAAAAATAGGGAATGAAAATTATTATTCTCCCAAAAGTAAAAGGAGATCGAAAGAAAAAAATTAAAAAAATAAAAATTTTAGTATAACAACTTGGCCTTCTCCGAAAATTTGTAGTGTAAATGGATAGATCTAGCAACTCTCCTGACGCAGCTTGATATCATTCAAACCTCAAATTGACCGTTTAATATTATAAGTACTTTATTGGTGAAAGAAGACTACGCATATTACGCAACGAGAGTCAAAATATAAGCTCCACCCACCCGCCCCATCTCAACTGAGATTTCTTTTTATTCGTCGTGAGACGGGAGGCGGAGCTTAAATGCAAAGTTCATATTCCTCTACATGAAATTACCACGTGAAACATGTTTTAAGTATCACATTGTAAAAAAAAACTACACAGGTTAAGAAAAAAGCAAAAATGAAGCCCCACCCACCCACCCCGATCTCAATTGTGATGAATTTTTTATTCGTTATCAGATAGAGAGGTGGAGCTTAACTGCAAAATCCATATATTTGAGGCATAATCGTATTGCAGAAAATAGACTATTTTGAGAAAAATAGGAAATGAATAATATTATTCTCTCAAAAGCAAAAGAGATCGAAAGAAGAAAAAAAACTAAAAATTTTTAGTAAAACCAACTTGGACTTTTCTGAAAATTACGAAAAAAAAATCAAAATATAAGCTCCATCCACCCGCCCCATCTCAATTGTGGCATTTTTTTATTCGTCGTGAGACGGGGGGCGGAGCTTAAATGCAAAGTTCATATATGAAATTACCATGTGAAACATGTTTCAAGTATCGTGTTGTTGAAACAAAACTACATATGTTCAGAGAAAAAAAGCCAAAAATTAAGCTCCACCCACCCGCCCTGGTCTCAATTGTGATGAATTTTTTATTCGTTATGAGATCGGGAGGCGGAGTTTATTAATTGCCAAAGTCCGTATCCAGGTGTCTCTTTTATTTAACACAACTCCTGTAACTTTTTTATTCTTAAAGATAAACCTGTAGTTCTTTGAGCAAATTTGTATCATTTTAAAAGATCTATGTGATGGCAACCTCACATTTTTATTATCACTTCCGGTAGAACCGGAAATGACGTCAACTTTATTTTTTTTATGGAACATTAGGTATACTTTTTCATGGAAACACTAAGCAACCAATATTCTAAACTCAATATTTAAAGTTATTCAATAAAATAAATCAAAAAATTATATTTATTTATGACGATTTCGTAATTTGAAAAATTGACACTCATGTCATTTATTCACATAAGTGATCTTTAAAAATAAAAAAAAAATACAGGGGTTCTATCAAATAACAGAAACACGTGATATTTAAGGCATAATCGTATTGCAGAAACTAGACTATTTTGAGAAAAATAGGGAATGAATAATATTATTCTCTCAAAAGCAAAAGCAGATCGAAAGAAGAAAACAAACTACAAAAATAAAAATTTTAGTATAAACTTGGACTTTTCTGAAAATTACGAAAAGAAAGTCAAAATATAAGCTACACCCACCCGCCCCATCTCAATTGTGATTTTTTTTATTCGTCGTGATACAGGGGGCGGGGCTTAAATGCAAAATTCATATATCTCTACATGAAATTACCATGTGAAACGTGTTTTAAGTATCATGTTGTTGAAAGAAACCTACACATGTTCAGAAAAAAAAGCAAAAAATTAAGCCCCACCCACCCACCCGATCTTTAGTGTGATGATTTTTTTTATTCGTTATGAGATCGGGAGGTGGAGCTTAATTGCAAAATCCATATATTTGAGGCATACTCGTATTGCAGAAACTGGACTATTTTGAGAATAATACGGAATGAATATTCATATTCTCTCAAAAGCAAAAGGAGATCGAAAAAAGATTTATAAAAATAAAAATTTTACTATTCACAATTTGACTTTTCTGTTCATTTGTAACGTAAATCGATAAATCTGGCAACACTGGTCACGCAGCTGGAAATAATTCAAACCTCAAATTGACCATTTAATATTTTAAGTATTTTATTGTTGAAAGGAGACTATAGCATATTACGAAAAGAAAGTCAAAATATAAGCTCCACCCAGTCTAAATTGTGATTATTTTATTTTCATTCGTCGTGAGACGAGGGGCGGAGCTTAAATGCAAAGTTCATATTTCTCTACAAGAAATTACCCTATGAAACATGTTTGAAGTTGAAAGAAAACTACACATGTTCAGAAAAAAAAAAGCCAAAAATTAAGTCCCCCCCACCCACCCGCCCCATCTCAATTGTGATGAATTTTTTATTCGTTATGAGATCGGGAGGCGGGGCTTAAGTGCAAAGTCCATATACTTGAGGCATAATCATATTGCAGAAAATAGACTATTTTGAGAAAAATATGATATGAATATTCTTATTCTCTCAAAAGCAAAAGAAGATCGAAATAAAAAAATGTGTAGCGTAAATCGATATGTGGCAACGCTGGTGACTCAGCTGGACATAATTCAAAACCTCAAATTGACCATTGAATATTTTAATAAGTATTTTATGCATTGTTAATTAAATTTTAATTAATGACCAGCAGCCAATATTAAAAATAAAATAAATATTTTATTGTTGAAATAAAAATCTATCGTCTGGTGAGCCATGAAATTTATTTTTTAAATAATCATATGGACAGTTTTTAATCATTTGTGATTAAACACGAACAAAAAACGTGTTACCAATGCCAACATGATTTTTGTAACATTAAATTTAAAATATTGTTAGGCGACTTTTTTCTTCATCATTACTAGTTACTACTAAAACACAAAATTTCAGTGCAATGGAAAAATTAGAAATTCAACAAAAATTTTATTGTCCCACTTCTCATCGCGAAATAAAAATCTACATTAAAAAAAAAACAGATTTGAAGAATTACTTGGTTTCAACTGATTTCGTGATTAGAGTACGTCATCTAGCAACGCAAAAAGTTAACAACTTTGAAAACCAGTTTTACAGTAAAAACTTTTATGATTTTTGACAGATTTTGACTGAGAATTTTAAGCAATTATTTCATACATGACGCGGTTTTGAAACAGCACGTACCTAGTTGGTACGGTTCAAGGTAGGGGGTTACGAAGTATCTCACAAATATTATTATTCGGTATTTGTTAATGGCATTAAAATAATTTAAACTAAATAGAGAATATATCGCCTCAGGTTTAAATAATCAATGAAATAATCTAGTTGAGTTCGAATTCAAATAGCTACAATAATAGGCATGAAATTAGCTCTTTCCAGCAGAGATATAAGCACTTTAAATTAAATCGAAAATAACGCTATTTACGATTTAAATTTAACAGAAATGCGACTTGTTATTGTATTATTAATGGACAACTCATGTTTGTGTAATGTATGCAAATGCTTCACAAAATCTTGTGTAAAAATTACAAAAGTCATTGTTACATGGTTTCATAGCCGGTCCTATCCACGGTGTCTTGATTTACTATTTCAGTAAACAATCAGACTTGTCTTTTTTTGCCTTGAGCAATTTTCGACGTTTCAACTTACCGTTGCACGATTCGCACGACTTCCCGCCCAGCGACACCACAGGCTCCGAACTCCCGTTGCTGTTCCCATTAACAACCCCCTTGTTGTTGTTGAGCGCTGCCGGATTCGGTTTATTGCTGTAAAACACACATCACAAAAAGCTCTCAACCCGTCGAGAACTCACTAGTTGGGAATGTAGACCTGCTTCAACTTGGACTCGGCCTCCACGGCCTTCACCCTCTTCTGCTGCACGTACCTGTCGGTCGTCTTCCACATGTAGTAGTACTCGATGATGTTCTTCAGCGTCTTCCACGGCAGAAAGTCCTGGCGTATGTCGTTGAAGTCCTTCCCGTACTTGTCGAGCGCCTCCTCGAACAAGTTCGCCTCCGAGGCGCTCCACTCCTCCATCTCGTCCCGGCAGAGCACCGGCCCGCTCGACGGCACCAGCGAGCAGAGCGCGCTCGCCAGGTCGTAGCCGTGCCGGTGGAGCGTGTCCATCGCGTGGAACAGGGTGATGTCGCGGCTGGCCGCCGCCGCCGACATGTGGAGCGACGGCTGCTTCACGCTGGAACTGCAGTCCAAAGCACGCGCGAACGTCCCGACCGAGCGCGAAACCACCAGGAACTGGTCGATCTGTCTGTCCGTCAGGCTGTGCTCGGGCGTCCACACCAGGGTCTCGAGTTCGCTGAGATCGCGCGAGCTCTTCTCGCCTTCGCGTAACAGGGGCGTCACATCACACTGGTACCGGCTGCCTACGCGTATTTCACCTTTGTCCGCTAGTAACGTTTTTTGGGTCGGATCGAACACCAGGCAGTAGAAAAACATGTCATCCTTGTTCAGGTATGAATTGAGCGATTCGGTTTCATTGAACAATGTTACTGAACACTTGCCCCGAATGTGCGTTGCGGGCAGAGTCTCGACCTGACGCGATAGGAACAACTCACGGTGTTTCATTTGGTGCCTCTGCTTTGGGTCCAGCGATTCACAACCTCTGCTGCCTGAATCGGACACTGGGCTGCCGTTCGATTCGTCTAAGGCACCTGAAAAACAGTGTTGTAATCAGAGATATGTAAAAGACAGATGCGGTTATAGCTTTCCCGATCTAGGGCCAACATCTATGATCTAAGAGTAGCAATACTTTGTATCGCCTATCCTTTTCTATATCAGCACCAGTACTATGGATTGCCAACTGTAGGCTACATCGATCACTCTCTAAAAGGTGGTTGTCTTGTTATTGGCCCGTTCTGATGGCGGCAATTATAAATAATCATAACCACCCACAGTCTGAGTGGTCTGACAGGGACCGGCACAAACACAAGAACGGCATCAACGACAAACGTTGCGCCAACTCTGATTGGTTGCGCCGTACAGAGCGAGACCTTCAGATATCGGGTTACCATTATACGTGCTAGAGAAAAAGAGGGAGATATAAACGTACACTGACATTTTGGCCCTAAACGTATGTCCACGAGAACATTAAATATCTGTATCTAGTCTTTTACATATCTCTGGTTGTAATAGTGGTATTAGTAAAGGAATATATCAAGACAGGTTATTTCGACAGAACTTTCCTCGCCCCTGAAGTGCAGCCCAACAAATCCCGTTTTTTTTTTTAAATATATACTTTTTTGCGATTATTGTTTTCTGATATCCTCTACAAGGTAAAAGGTAAGGGCGCAACGCGAAAACAATGCTTTTCGAAAAACTTAAAAATCGAAAGATTAAAAATTTTTAAAATCAGAAAACTGTCGAGAAATGGAAAATTCAAAAATCGAAAAATTGAAACATGTATTAAAAAAATTTAAAACAGGGAAATGGAAATATCAAAAATAGGAAAATCAAAAATTAAAACATCGAAAAACAAAAAACAAGAAATCGTAAACTGCAAAAATCCAAGCAATTAAAATCGAAAAATTGAGGAATCGAAAAACTAAAAATTGAGACATTGAGAAATGTCAAAAATCGAAACGTCGAACAACTGGAAAATCGAAATCTCAAAAAGTCAAAAAGTCCAAAAATCAAAAAACCAAGACATCGAGAAATCGAAACTCAAAAGACCGGGAAGCCCAAAATCGAAAAATTTAAAGCAAATTAAGTGGAAAAATCGAAACACCAAATGATTGAAAAATCTAAAATTTAAAAATTCTAAATTTTGAAAAATCGAAGAATTGAAAAATGGAAAAATCGACAAATCTAAAATTTACAAAATCAAAAAATTAAAATATTGGTATTTACCAATATTTATTTATTTGAAAGAATCGAAGAATTAAAGACCGCAATAGTGAAAATCTCAAAACTAAAACATCGAAAAATTGATACATCGAATCATCCGAAAATAGAAAAATTGGAAAAATGTAGGAATCCCAAAACTGAAACATAGAAAAATTGAAAACTCGAGAAATCGAAACATCGAAAGTTGAGAAATCGAGAAATGGAAAAATCAAAAAAATCGAAAAATCTAAAAGTCGAAAAGTCAAAAAATTCAGAAATTGAAACATCAAGAAATCGTCATTCAAAAGATCGGGAAGTCCAAAATCGAAAAATTAAACACTGAAAAATTATAATTAAAAAAAATGAAAAACCGAAAAATTCAAAATTTAAAAATTCGAAAAATGGAAAAATCAACAAATCGAAAACTCTAACATTTACAAAATTAAAAAATTAAAATACATATTGGTAAATCGAAGAATCCAAAAATTGAAAAACTGAAGACCGCAATATTGAAAAATCCGAAAACTGAAATATCGAAAAATTGATACATCGAATTATCCGAAAATCGAAAAATTGGTTAGAAAATGTAGGAATCCCAAAACTGAAACATAGAAAAATTAAAAAATCGAGAATTTGAAGAATCGAAAATTCAAAAAACGAAACATTGAAAAATCAAAAACTTGAAAAATCAGAATCGAGAAATCAAAACATCGAAAGTTGAGAAATGGGAAAACAAAAAAAATGGAAAAATCTAAAAGTCGAAAAGTCAAAAAATCCAGAAATTGAAAAAAAAATAAAAACAGGAACTCAAAAAATCGAAAATTTAGAAAGGCAAAAAACTGAAAATTAAAAAATTAAAAAAATAAAGAAACGGGAAATAGTAAATTTTAAAAAATCGTGAAACTGTTCAAAGAATCGAACAATAATTGAAAAATCCCTAAAGTGAAATATCGAAAAACTGAATAATTCAAAAAATTGTAAATCGAGAAATTGAAAACGAAAAATTGAAACATCGAAAAATCAAAACTCAAAAGATCGGAAAACCCAAAATCGAAAAATTGAACACTGAAAAACTGTAATTAAAACAATGAAAAAACAAAAAATTTAAAGCTAATTAAGTGGATAAATCGAAACATCAAATGATTGAAAAATCTAAAATTTAAAAATACGAAAAATTGAAAAATCGAAGAACTGCAAAATGGACGATTCGAAAAATCAAAAAATTGATACATTGAATGATCCGAAAATCGAAAAATTAAAACAAAAATGTAGGAATCCCAAGACTGAAAAGAAAAATTGAAAAATCGAGAAATCGAAACATCGAAAGTTGAGAAATCGAGAAATGGAAAAATCAAAAATTCGAAAAATCTAAAAGTCGAAAAGTCAAAAAACCCAGAAATTGAAAAGAAATAAAAACAAGAAATCAAAAACTCGAAAATTTAGAATGGCCAAAAACTGAAAATTGTAAAATTAAAAATCAAAACATAAAAAAAAAACGGGAAATCGTAAATTTTAAAAATCGAGAAACTGTTCAAAGAATCGAAAAAAATCGAAAAATAGTTGAAAAATTCCAAAACAGATATAGAAAAATTGAAAAATCGAGAAATGGAAAAATCAAAAAAAATCGAAAAATCTGAAAGTCGAAAAGTCCAAAAATCCAGAAAATTGAAAAGAAATAAAAAGAAATCAAAAAATCGAAAATTTAGAAAAGCCAAAAAGTCAAAAATTAAATCAAAAAATTAAAAATCGAGAAATTGAAAAATTGAAACATCGAGAAATCGAAACTCAAAAGATCGGGAAGCCTAAAATCAAAAAATTAAACCCTGAAATATTGACAAATTTTAATAATAATAAAGAAAAAAAATTAAAAACCCAAAAATTTTAAGCCAATTAAGTGGAAAAATCTAAAACTGAAAAATGGAAAAATCGACAAATCCAAAAATAAAAAATTTAAAATATTGGTAAATGGAAGATTAGAGCAATCGATCCATCGAATCACTCGAAAATCGAAAAATTGAAAAAAAGTGGGAATCCCAAAACTGAAACAAAAAAAATCGAAGTCAAAAAATCCAGAAATTGAAAAGAAATAAAAACAAGAAACCAAAAAATCGAAAATTTAGAAAAGCCAAAAACTGAAAATTTAAAAATTAAATTTGAAAAAAAGGAGAGAAGAAAAATTTTTAAAAATCGAGAAATATGGAAATTTAAAAAAAATAAACATTCAAAAATGGAAAAACTGAAAAATAAAGAACAAAAAATCGGAAACTGAAATAACGAAAACCTGAATAATTCAAGAAATTGTAAATCGAGAAATTGAAAATCGAAAAATTAAACACTAAAAAACTGTAATTAAAACAATGAAAAACCGAAAAATTTACAGCCAATTAAGTGGATAAATCGAAACATCAAATGATTTAAAAATCTAAAATTTAAAAATTCGAAAAATCGAAGAACTGAAAAATGGAAAAATCGAAAAACCCAAAATTTACAAAATTAAAAAAATAATAAATGGAAGATTCGAAAAATCGAAAAATTGAGACATAGAATCATCTGAAAATCGAAAAATTAAAAAAAAAATATAGGAATCCCAAGACTGAAACAGAAAAATCGAGAAATCGAAACAACGAAAGTTGAGAAATCGAGAAATAGAAAAATAAAAAAAATCGAAAAATCTAAAAGTCGAAAAGTCAAAAAATTCAGAAATTAAAACATCGAGAAAACGAAACTCAAAAGATCGGGAAGCCCAAATCGAAAAATTAAACACTGAAAAACTGAAAAATCAACAAATCGAAAAATCTAACATTTACAATATCAAAAAATTAAAATACATATTAGTAAATGGAAGAATCCAAAAATCGAAAAACTGAAGACCGCAATAAAAAAAAATCGAAAAATCTAAAAGTCCAAAAGTCAAAAAATCCAGAAAAATAAAAACAAGAAATCAAAAAATCAAAAAATCGAAAATTTAGAAACGCCAAAAATGGAAATTGAAAAATTAAAAATCAAAAAATAAAAAAAACGAGAAATCGTAAATTTTAAAAAATCGAGAAACTATTCAAAGAATTGAATAATAATTGAGAGATACCAAAACTGAAATTTTGAAAAATTGGAAGACCGAACAATTGAAACTCAAAAGATCGGGAAGCCCAAAATCGAAAAACTGAAAAATTTTAATTAAAAAAAATTGAAAAACCGAAAAATTTGACACCAATTAAGGGGAAAAATCGAAAAACCGATAAATCAAAAAATCTAAAAATTACAAAATCAAAAAATTGATACATCGAAAGATCGAAACATCGAAATTTGAGAAAAGCCAAAAACTGAAAATTGAAAAGTGAAAAAGTGAAAAATCGAAAAATAAACGAGAAATCGTTAATTTTAAAAAATCGAGAAACTGTGCAATGAATGGAACAATAATTGAAAAATCCCAAAACTGAAATATCGAAAAATTAAATAATTGAAACATCGAGAAATCGAAACTCAAAAGATCGAGAAGCCTAAAATCGAAAAATTAAACACAGAAAAATTGAAAAATTTTAAATAAAAAAAATTGAAAAACCGAAAAATTTAAAGCTAAGTAAGTAGAAAAAACGAAGAACTGCGAAAATGGAAAAATCAACAAATCGAAAAATTTAAAATTTAGAAAATCAAAAATTAAAACATTGGTAAATGGAAGAATCGAAAAACTGTAGACCGCAATATTGAACAATCCCAAAACTGAAATATCGAAAAATTGATACATCGAATTATCCGAAAATCGAAAAATTGGAAAAAATGTAGGAATCCCAAAACTGAAACATAAAAAAATTGAAAAATCGAGAAATCAAAA